TTTGACAATAAAGTACACATAATAAAAAACAAGTAACAAACCTTGCTCATTATAACCTAACTTATCATTTAATCTTAGGAAAGCAAACGTCTGCCATGGAATGTGTTTTGAATGGTGCAATCGCCTGTATGTGTTTTACGTTCATCTTATTAGATAAATAGTGGTAGACTTTGCCGTAGCTTGAAGGCCACTGTTTTCTTTTACCTTGGACAGGCGTATCCTTGTTTCACCCTATGGAAGAGACGAGGGGATTCCCCGATTTATAACAATGGTATGACGTCACGTCAACAATCCATCAACGTCACGTCAACCCTGAATTTAGCCTGTAACGTTATCATTACATTGTGTATATGATACACAACGGGAGAACAGGGTAAGAGAAAAAGAATCATTCACTCCCTTGTGGGTGAGATAGGGGAATCGCAACCCTCAGAGAAAGGTTTTTAAATTGCCAAACACTCGGCAAAGCCTTGTGTTTGGCAACTTAAGAATCTTCCCCTTCGGGTTGAGATTCCCCTATCTCACACCCAAGGGGTGAGAGATTCTGTTAATCTTTTTTCAAGTAGTGGCATAATATAAACACTGAACATATGATTAAATTTGAAATTTACCAGTACAACTCTAAATTTTGAAATATATTAATTAAGGGGTTTAATGCCTTTGTTTCTACGGTAGTTTAGGCAATTTGGATTTCTAACTTTTTAACCCCTAGCATCACCGATGAATCCTAGAAGAACGAAACAACTGTCTGCTGCAGTGCAATTCATTTCTGGCTTACTCTATCTACTACCAAATTTTAAAGGTGCGTCATCTGTGTATGTGTCACGTACGTTGATCGTTCATGCAGAACTAGAGTTAAGCAAGCAATAATATTGTCTATACTTATGCATAAAATTACAATTTGGTATTCAAGAATAATGTGATATCAAACATCCGTAACAACTCACAATTAAAAACAAATGCGTCATGAATTCCTTATTAAGCTGTTTGTTATCAATACCATTTTAACATGAACGAGAACACTGATGGATACTATTTTTAAATGGCATAAGTACAATGTAAGAGATTTGTCGTCAACAATGAACCAGAATATAAATATACATCATGCATAATCTTTCTTATTAACCCTTTGAGAAAAATCTAGGAATCTGATTGGTTAAAAACTACAGTGTACCAAACCGCATTCGTAAATCTCAGGGGGTATACGAAAATCTCAGGGGGTATACGGTCATGTCACGTGATTCTCAGCAGTAATACAGTGGAATCACGTGATTTTACAAGGGGTATACGGGTCACGTGTCTTTGTATCTTGCGGCCGGGCATCGGGAGACAACTTGCATTCGTCGTCTGCTTCGCTGTTTACAAGCTGTTACTTCTGGTTACGGCATACAAACAAAACCATAACCAGCTTTCCCAGAAGTGTTGAAAAGGGTAAAGTGACACTTAAACTGCCAGCTTGGGATTCAGCAAGAGAGCAAACAAATAACCTCTGAAGACAGATTTAAACAGGGGAATCAGCTTATTCAGCTATAATCGAATAGGCGAGTTGCAACGTATCACACATGTTCGAAATCAAAGGGCTCTACTATCCATATATATATAATTAACTTCTCTGCATCCGTGATGTATGTCATGACAAATTTGAAGTTTTTCTGTTCGCTTACATGCAGTAGTTTCAAACAGACTAATTCTTTAACGTACATTAAAAGAATCCCCTGCTTGGGGCTTGACCGGCTTTGAAGCCGATTCTCGCTCCTATGCAGGCATGGGGCAATTACATTGGTAATGTAGTTAATTAAATTACACAATACATTGAAAAAGTACCATTACCATTATTACCATTACATGGTTTTCTTAATGTAATTAATTACCATTACAATTACATTGCCAATGTAATTAATTACCATTACACATTACTTTTATTTTATATTATCGGTATATTATTTTTTTAATCCAAGCCAATAAAAATACAAGTTTAAATGACATATTTACCTTTATTTGTTATTAACCTTTTGTTTGTGTTTCATACAGGTAATTTACCTCACTACATATATACAAAATGTATGTATACACTCGCATTGTACAGTATGCACATGTACTCAACTCTGGGAAGATGTTCTGCTTTAGAGCTATACACTACATATGTAAACATTGCATTTTATCAATATCAGATGTTCAAAAGTTTCATCATTTAGACGGCATCTGTCCAGGCGGAATATCTTCCCGGCTATACTGAATAGTCTCTCGGCTGATACTTGATAGCGAGTTTTAACAGAACAGGGTATTGGATAGAGTTTGTTTGCCAAAATGACAAAGGGTCATCCTCCATGTCAATACAAAGGTTTTCGAGATATTTCTCTGCTTCCTTTGGTGCCAACCCAGATTGGTGTCTTTTTCTTGGGGTCGCTGGCAGAAAACTGAAGAAATCCATCTTGCCTTGAAATATCCTGTTGTGTGTTTGGGAATTTAAAAAATGGCTCAAATGTGGTTGTTCAAGTTTTCGAGTGAAGGTGTAATTCAATGTTAGTACTGTTCACTATAAGTTCACCCTTACAAAGATAGAATGTTCTGAATGGTCTACCCTGTTATGATACATGTACTCACTGTGTGGCGACCCTTTGTTATTAAAAGCACAAGTTACCTGGTCTCTGGGAAGGAGGACAATAGCTAAGCTAGGAATAGGGGATTAGGATCAATACTGGTATAACCTCTTATTACCTGTGTCCTTACATAATACAAATTTACTTTGGAAACTTTCTATTTGATTAAATTGTATAAAGGATGCATGAAACAGCAACACTCAACATAAAAGTAATTAAAAGTAATTGGGCATTACATACATTTTTCAATGTAATTAATTAAATTGCCATTACATGTAATTGAAAACATTCTCAATTACACATTACATCCAATTACTTAACAAAATGTAATTAATTGCAATTAATTACCATTACACATTACCATTACCCCATGCCTGCTCCTATGTACAATTGGTCAGTTTGTTTTATACCTGAAAGAAATAAAATAGTTGACCGTGTGCCTTTGATTTTGTCCAGACATATCCGAAGGTCGTAAAGGAGATACGTGAATAGAACTTGGAACCCTTAGCTTTGGAAAATGCGGGTCCCAACAAGTGACATGCAGCAAAATCAGAGCCATCCGGGATGTTAGTTTTTTATAGTCATTTGACGAAGAGGTCTTGTATTTGATAAGTATGAAGACTTCAGACTCCAACACAACATACGGTAAAGTAAAGTACATATTGTTTAAAAAAAGGAAGAAATGACTAACAAGACATCGATGCGTAACGCACTTGCTTTTGATCTTGAAAGGACATAGGAACAGCGGTGAAAACAGTCGGAAAACCGGCAAAGGCGATTTTACGTTTTGAAGATATTCCCTTCCCTATCAATAAAAAGTATAGAAATATATTGGCTAAACATGAAATAACAGTTTCATTTTCATCACAACAGACTCTTTCCACTTCAGCTATTGGCTGTATTTTTCATTGCAACACTCACAGGTTAGTGCCATTTAACCTATTCTACCGCCAAGACTCTTGACAGGTTTAATCATTCAACATTTCCAAATGGCCCCTTTTTCCTAAAACAAAAAGAATCAACGAAAGGCACAGAAAGGTGTAATCGCGTTGATGACACTTTGCTGCATATCTTGGAAAAGTACAGAAAATATTAAAATATTTTGAATTTCAAAATGTACATCTTATTAAATGGATAAATATTTGAAGATGAGCTTGAAAACCAAATCTTATTTTATTAATGGGGTGTTTTGTTTTACGCATAAAAAATAAAGCCTTGATCATTTGTAGCAACGGTTGATAAACTTTTATGTGTATGCTTACATGTACGTAAAGAGTATATTAGCAAAGGTCTGTTGGCTTACTTCAAAACACGTCAACATGGTATACGTAAATATATGTAAGAAAAGAAGCTTCGACTTATGTATCAAATTACTTTATTACAAAACAGTGATTTCACTCTTTAACAGTGAACAGTACAATACAATACCTTAACTTGATAATGACAGTAGAATACATATACTGTTCATGAATTTCGTATGATTTCTTCGTAAATAATTCTATCGTAATATCACAGGTTTAAAAGATACATTGAATGAATTCAAATTGTTTTTCTGCATTGAACACAGATCTTATTAGATATTTTCCCCATTTCCATCAAACTTGAAATTTCTTATTCAGTTACCTTATTTAAGCAGTTAAACATCTTATTTCACAGTGACGATCTTGTTTCAGCCATAACTATATTCAGAGGTTACCTTATTTTAGTAGTTACCTTATTTCAGTAGTTAAACATCTTAATTCACAGTGAGTATCTTGTTTTAGCCATTACTTCACTCAGAGGTTACCTTATTTTAGTAGTTACCTTATTTCAGCAGTTAAACATCTTATTTCACAGTGACTATCTTGTTTTAGCCATTACTACATTAAGAGGTTACCTTATTTTAGTAGTTTCCTTATTTCAGCAGTTAAACATCTTATTTCACAGTGACTATCTTGTTTTAGCCATTACTACATTCAGAGGTTACCTTATTTTAGTTGTATCCTTATTTCAGTAGTTAAACATCTTATTTCACAGTGACTATCTTGTTTTAGCCATTACTACATTCAGAGGTTACCTTATTTTAGTAGTTACCTTATTTCAGCAGTTAAACATCTTATTTCACTGTGACTATCTTGTTTTAGCCATTACAACGTTCAGAGGTTACCTTATTTTAGTAGTTACCTTATTTCAGTAGTTAAACATCTTATTTCACTGTGACTATCTTGTTTTAGCCTTTACAACATTCAGAGGTTACATTATTTTAGTAGTTACCTTATTTCAGCAGTGGAACATCTTATTTCACAGTGACTATCTTGTTTTAGCCATTACTACATTAAGAGTTTACCTTATTTTAGTTGTATCCTTATTTCAGCAGTTAAACATCTTATTTCACTGTGACTATCTTGTTTTAGCCATTACTACATTCAGAAGTTACCTTATTTTAGACATTACCATGTTTCACCGGTTACCTTATTTCAGAGGTGAAATTCTTTTATCGAGTAGCTTAAATAAGCGGTTACACCTTTTCAGCAGTCAAATAATTTACTTTAGCAGTTAAACATCCTATTTAAGCTCTTACCATATTTCAGAGGGTTTATTATTTTAGCAGTTATCATATTTTAGCATCGTATTTAAACATAAATAATGTTTAAGTGGTTTGATAAATTCAGTGATAGTTTAGCGACAAACGTTTGCTTCAAAAGTTAATTTCATTTTAGCAGAAACACAACGTTCTGGGGTTCTCTTCATAAATGATGTTTGGACCGATATTGAAATGCAATTTCATAAGAACATGAATAACAATTTAAAACTTTGTAACCGGAATGTGTAGACGCACTTAAAATGTATGACTGTGCAAACAACCATGGAACACTGGCATATAATGGTGCTATGTACTGATCAGGGTATGTTGATCTAACATATGATTGGTCTAAGTGAAAATTGATTTTCAATGCTGAAGAGCTGGTATCTTTTTATAAATACAGCAGATCTCAAACTAACTCAAATGTGGATGAGTGGAACTACCCACCTAACAAGAACAGTCTCAACCAACAGAGTAATTATTGTTTAATTACACAACTTCAACACCCAGATAGCTCATCCTTCTCTCATGGATCAAATGAGTTCCAGTTAAATGTACCGTATTAATCCAGCAATAAGCCCATGTCCAGTAATAAGCCCATCCATATATATATTGCAGTCCAGTAGAAATGCTAACAAACAATATTTTATTGTCCTTTAAAAGCTCATCTCCTGCCTTGAGTCGTCGGACATTTTGTATATCACCTGGGTTTATTAAAGGATAAATATGGTAAATTCATGGGATATTTTTCTCAAGGTCTAAAAATATGACCGTGTTTTTTTTTAGTAAACCAATATTAGAATTCAACTTGGTAGGGCATATTGGCTTCAGAAATCAATAAGTAACTAAAACCTGATTAAAATTTAACTGATATTTAATGCTTCACCCTGTTTTGTAATTACATAACAAAGAGAACAGACATATTTAAACAATAATCACATATCAATATCAATAAAAGTTCTATTGAATTAAAACTAATTTCTGGTTTAATTTAAAAAGATCACAGTTCAGTCACTATCACAGCCATAGGAACATACAGGATACTGTAAAAATCTGTTTTATATTTTAATGCTCATATTTCTAAGATTTGGTACACATATGTATCTCTTTTTTTCAAGATTGTTCTTCTTATTGACATGGAACATACTGTTAAGGTTAGAACGGATTAATTTTTAAGAAATATGTAAGAAAATAAATTACAAAGCAAATGATATTTGTTGTGTTTTTTTTTTCATAAATATTTTTTTTAAACAAAAATCGCAAAAACTAGAGCCCTGTCAAAAAAAAAGAAACTTTTACAGTATTCAGCAATAGATCACAAACATATGTTTGGCTTCAGAAATTCATTTGTTAAATCAATTTCTGGTTAAATAAAATATGTAAGATTATATTATTATTAACAACACTATGTAAAGCATCACCACCTGACTTAAAATTTTGGCATCAATATTATAGAAAGTATCAAAGATTTATAAATATTAAGGCATCATGGTGGTGAAATGTTGTCCAAGCTGGGATTTCTCTAAAAATAACTCAGTTCAGACATTTTATTCCAAATAGAAGAACTACAACACAAATTCATAAGGACTGTTCCATAATTTATTATACAGGGGAGACTGGACGCACCTGTATAAATATATTACAGGTGGTGGTGTTAAAAGATCTGCCTTCCATTCCTTAATTCAATTGTTTTTAAAATTTTATGGTTGGTGGGGTTTCTGAAAAAGTGCCTCCCACCCCTCCCCTACAGTAAATTCTGGAACAACTCTAAAGATATTTGATGAAATAACTCTTCTGATTAAACATAATTTTTTCCACCAATCAGAATTTTATTTTTACTTTCTTCATAGAACACTTGAAATACCTCAGTGGTTTTTGATTCCTGGACTTTCATGTTTCCTGTCGGATTTGCCCAGATTTTGAGAATCAACTAACTGTATCACTTAGGAAAGTCTCCCATCGGAAATTTTGAAAAAGTTGTCCGAAAATAAAATCCTACAAAAATCACTAATACTTTTTCGGTAATACTGTTTGAAGAAATATAGATTTTTTTTATAAAAATAAATTTTGAAATCAATTTAGTATTACTGTGTATATCACAAAATATGATGGAAGTTTGATTTTCAGTCAGTGTTTTTTTTTAATTTTTAATTTCAACAAATACAGTCAGGCTTCAGTGTACATAGTTAAGCATAAAAAAGAATAATGTAAAATAAAGCACAGCTGAAAAACACAATACAATATCTTTTATTTATATTATAACTTAAAACATTACATACTTTTCTCTCTTTATTTCTCTCTTTTAAACTATCTCACTCGCAAATTCTCCCAGGAAAAATATATATGAAAAGGCCAGTTATCACTCCTTATAAAATATCATTGAATGTAAAAGTTATAAGTAAATGTACACTACAACACAGTCACCAACATGGAAAGAATGCTATTATTTAATGCTTATTCAGTTTCCAAGGAACATTATATACAAGTACAGAAAAGAGAAACATCTTTTCTCAAATCTAAATGTCTAACCTCTTTAAAACCGGAAATCTATCACAGAAAATTACACCATATTCCCATCAAAATTTTGCATTTACTCAAACATTTGGCACTAGACATTAGTATGTCTATATTTTATATTACAAATAACTTCATGTATTAATTTGACGTGTGAAAAAAGGCAGCACTTTCTGATATTAATCTCAATAAAGAAGACGTGGCCCCAGTACAATAGGTGGGCCTCAGTAAATTAGGCATGGCCTCAGTACAGTAGGTGGGCCTCAGTAAGTAGGCATGACTTTAATAATTGTAGGACCTCAATAAATAGGTGTGGTTTCAGTACAATAAGTTTGGCCTCGGTAAAGTAGGTGTGGCCTCAACAAAGTAGGTAGGGCCTCAATAAATAGGTGTGGCTTCAGTACAATAGGTGTGGCCTACATAAAGAAGGCGTGGCCTCAACAAAGTAGGTAGGACCTCAATAAATAGGTGTGACTTCAGTACAATAGGTTTGGCCTCGGTAAAGTAGGTGTGGCCTCAGTAAGTAGGTGTGGCCTTAATATAGTAGTCAGAAATACTTTAACCTCAGTAAAGAAAGAGTTCCCTGTTCCCATACTTGTCTTCCACAAATAGATGCAGCCACAATAAAAGAAGGTAATTTGTTGTTGTGCCAGTAACTTGACCAGGCTTCAGTGAGCCGGAGCCAGTAACGGTTCCTCCAGCGTTGGTACCATTGACTGGGACGGAATAAAGTATTTCTGAGAGGACTTCAGTGTTATCAGGATAGGTTCTTGGAATCGAGAATCAAACTCGTCGATACGGCTACGGAACGGATTGATATACAGTGTTTTCATTGGTAGGTTGATACTGGGAGTGAATCCTGTCAGCTGACCAGGAGGAGGCTGGTTTCCGCGATTTGTTGTGGCCAGTTGCCGATAATCTAGGACAAACAATGAAATACTCATCAAAGAAATATCACACTACAATCATATCTATTTCATTTAATGATATGGGGTTTAATGATACAGAAAGAATGGAGTGCAGGGCAATTCAAATCTTCAACATCAAATTTACTTGGAGTGTAAAAATGATACAGGCCCGAACAGGATTCCAACCACGGACCTACGAATTCCAGGTGGACACTAAAGAGGTGATTGCCCTAATCAAGTTCCATCACACCTGTATCTTATGCCTTCTATAAAAGATCCAGAATATATCTAAATAGGTTCATTCTTTTTAATGAATTAAATATTTAAGTAGTTACTTATTAACAATAACCACCAAATTTACATAGTTTATGATAAAGAAACATTAAATATACAGACAATAGCCCTGAAAGATTTTTTTAAGAACTTAATAAGAAAACTTCTTTAAAATATCTATGATCCACACATCAGGTACTTACCAATATGTAAGTTGGTTTCCCGATGAGGACGGCATTTACTTGTGTGAGTTTCACCAAGACGTACCAGAGCAGGCTTACTGTGAAGAGAAAAAATGGAAATATTTTTTTTAAACCAACAATTTTCAGGAAGTTTTCAGTTAATTTTTAAGCCTTGACTTGATACCATAATTCATTGCAGCAAATATTTCTTATTTCAAAGCTGTTTTTAAAAAAGTAATACTAGTTTAACCCTTTCACCCCTAGGTAACTTTAGTAGACTTTACCATACATTGATCTGGACGAGTCCATTATGGTCTACAGTGGTGAAAGGATTAAAGAATTGACTACTGTTGTATAATAACATTGTTAAAATGCAGAAAGAGGAATCCACTTTTCTGGTACAAGACACAGCCAAACCTTGCATGTGAAGACTTTTAATCTGTGTAGCTTCTTTTTTCACAGCCTATCTTCAACATGGCTAACTTTTAGGTCTGTTAATTATTTTAATGTAGTTTAGATGCGAAATTCTGATCCAGATGATTTTAAGATTGCTTAATTGTTATTTCTCAGTTTATCCATGTGGTGTTACATTGTTCCAACAAAATAGATTTTCTCCGACATTCAGACAGGTTACTTCTGTGTTTTACTATTTATTAACTAAACATGAATTTATGATTAAAAAAAGTGAAAAAATATTATTTATAGCAAAAGTTTGAGCTTTATTTAATATCACTGGTACAGAAAATATTTAATTCATTTTAATTGCAATCTTACTTTCCAAATGACAAATCAGAAGCTTATAAAAATAATGAGTCTTATTTTTTTTAAATCATGTCAACTTAAGAAATAAATTAGATGGTATTGCAGTTTTAAACATAAACAATTTAAGGGTTGCTTACTGTGGGACTTTTGGTAGCACAAGGACCGTGTTTTTGGCCTGTACGACATTGTCCTGGGACCCAGCGCCGCGCTTGCCTCCCTTTCTAAGCCCGTCCACGGCCTTTTCCATCATCATGTCGCAGAAATAGTTCAGGGCATCCATATACGTGGCCGTCTCCACCACCGACACGTCGGGTGGCTTGTCAAAAGTCACTGACAACAGAAACAGGAAATACAGAACAGAATTTTACATGATGACTAAGAAAAGAGTTTGAAAAAGAAATTGGAGTACAATGTAGTTGTGTGCACTCATTTTTTTTTTATCACTGACGTATAATTTCATCAAGTCACAAACATCCCAGGCCAAGTATACATCTCGTCGGTTTCATCTCTGGTCTGGTATAGTCATGTGACAATGCATAGTATATACACAGTATAAACACAGTGTTAAGCATGTACTCTGTCTAATCAAACTGTGCACCTTCTGTCTGTCCAGTTCAGGCCAAGACCCAGAAAACACTAATTCTATTGAGAGAGTTAGTGGTCTGAATATATATAGTACATGTACTTGTGAAAAAATGTTTATATGAATTTAAAAACAAACTTTTTGTGTAATGACGACTTCTTTTTAAGTTAAATGTAATACATTAATATGAAAAGTGAAAGTCAGGGTAGAACAAACATACTGAAGTGTGACAGATGGGCAGACGTCAAAAATGATACGCCCGCCCCTTAGTATCCCAGATAATTTGTGAAACTTCACTCTTACGTAACATCAGTGCATGTGTACCTGTGATGCTTCGACGGCGATCCACGCCCGGGACACGAGGGATAAACTCTGTCCCCTCGGGTAGTGTGGTCACAGTCTCCTGATCATCATCGCCTCCCTAATTATAACATACACAAACTATTTTCAACCAAGTGGATCCTCAATGTTAACACTGGGTTACAACTATTAACCTGCGAAGCATAGAACCTTAATATCACAATTACTGGTTAAATATATCAACATTTCACTGACAGAGCTTTTTAAATTCAGTCCTGTTTTCATTTCCAATTCCAGTAAATTCAGTTTACCGGTAGTTTTTTCCTTCACATTGCCAAACAACAATGCCAAGCAACAATGCCCAACAGTAGTTGGTATTAATTTTGTGATTTAAACCGTAATTTAATATGAAGTGTATTTTTCCTCAGACTTACCACGGATTTCCTCAGGATACTCTTGTTGCCACGTTTCTTGCCATCCCCTCGACTTAGTTTGCCATGAATATTCTGGCCCTTCTTCATCCTCTCTATTGTATCTGTCAGGTGGAGTTTGTACGAAGTCATCCACCTAAAAAAATAAATTTATAATTTCAACATTTTTTTCAACCGTATTTATCCTCCAAAAAGCCCAGGGGCCAATACGAAACCTCCGACTCAAATTAGGACAGTGGGCTTATCACAGGACGAGGAAATAGCATTAGTTGACATTTTTACGGAACAGTTAATATAGTTATAGATGTGAGTGGGCTTATCACCAGTCATAAGGTTATTGTCATATAAATACAGTATTTATGGTTTTATCTTAATAAAATATGAGTTTGAAACTCTTCAAATCCGCCAATAAGAGGATGGCTGGAGTGATTAAGTGACTGTCTGTCACTCAGAATAGCCCCTGACAGGACACGCTCTGTCACTCAGAATAGCCCCTAACAGGACACGCTCTGTCACTTAGAATAGCCCCTGACGGGACACGCTCTGTCACTTAGAAAAGCCCCTGACGGGACACGTTCTGTCACTTAGAATATTTTTCTATTTTCTCAATAAAACACTTTCATTTCAACTACGGTAGATAAACTGAACAGTGGAAATTTTCCCCCTAAATTTAATTTTTACCTTTTTCGCCCTCTATAACATTGGACAGTGAATATTATAATTCGGGCACATTTAACCCTGGGCAAATACAGATTTTATCTGTGAAGGGCGAAAGTTTGAATATATAGACAAAAAAATCCCGGTTTACAGTACCTATTTTAGATAAAAGATGAAAAATGATTAAAATTTGGTTTAGAAATACAATACAGTTTCATGGTAAAGGAGATCACTCTTTACCGACGCTGTAAGTACCTGTCCAGCCACTGCTGTGCCATTTTCCTAAGGTCAGCCTTGCGGTCATCTTCCTCGACATTCCAGATGTCCCAGGAGTCCAGCTCTTTCGGGATGTGTTTGTGTGGGTCCTGGAGACCACTTGCTGACAGACTCTCTGCCACAGTGATCCTGAAACATAATGTTTATGTCGCAAAAGTTGAACATTTGGTTTGGTTTGTTTGTGTTTTAAGTCCCATTAACAGCTATGGTCATTTAAGGATGTGCCAGGTTTTGGTGGTGGAGGAAAGCCAGAGTTCCTGGAGAAAAACCACTGACCTACGGACAGTACCTGGCAATTGCCCCAAGTAGGCCTCGAACCCACGACCCAGTGATGGAGGGCTATTGGAAGCAGATTAACCACTTGGCCACTGCGGCCCCCGGCCCCCTTGAACATTTGGACTCTGCAGCATGATGCGGAAAACAATTATTACAAACTATAGCATAGGGAATAAACTTCCTGCTTTATAATCAGGGGTATGAGGATTAAATCCCCATTGAGTTTTCGTGAAAAAGAAAATTAAATTATTACAAAGGTTTCTTTTGTATACAATTCTATTCATGTACTTCATTCAATTAAGAAATGAAACTCCATGTTAGAAAAATGCCAAAAAAATTGTAACTCTCCATCATTGGAGGAACAAGACACAGGTTGCTAGGACTCTCTACCTTAAAGATAACTTGATAGAATATACACTTACCGTACTTCTTTGTCTCCGTCCAGAAACTGGACCATCAATTCCGTGATGTACTCTTTATCGTACAGACCAAATTTGGTCATGGCTCGCAGCGAGGACAAGATGAAGCTCTTTTGTGACGTTACCAGGCAGGTTGGCGGCTCCTTGCTGTGGTTGAGTATGGCCACCAGGGTCTTGTCGATGGCCGACACGGTGGCTTCAGACATGTCCTCCTGTGTAAACAGCATGGTGAGTGCCTCAGTGATACTCGTCTTCATTGGGTAGTCGGCAAGACGAATCACACGGCTAAGCATCGTAGCAAAGTTTTCTGGGGTCCAAGGTTTCGGTATGCTCTGAGGAAGGGTCAGATATTGATTAAAATAAGTGAAAAATAGAGCAGGGGTTGAAACTCTCATCTGTACTATAAATGTAGATTTGGTATGTGTTTCATATTTCAAGATCATTGACATATATCTGAAAGTTTTCAAGTGTTTAATCACATTTCTAAATTATTTGTCTGCATCATTCAAACCATGGTCAACAAAATAATGTTTGATGCTTGAAAAAGATCTAGTGAAATTAAATGTTTGTGGGACTAGTTTTTGTTAGAAAGTAATTAAGTCTTGAAAAGATACATTACATTTGAAAAACTTTGGATCAGTAAAAAAATATCCTAATACAATACAAAAGTGCTTACCTCAAGACTTGGAAAGAATTTTTCAAACCAAGGTGTGCCGTTGAACTGTGTGATAAAATCAGGCACAGGCGTATCCGGTCTGGGTGGGGTGGGGGTCCTTGCCTTGGGGGTTGGGCCTGCTCTCACCCTCTTCATTGGAGTGGAAGGCGGGGTCTTTTCTACTACCACTGGAGGGGGTGGCGAGGGCGGGAGGGGCTTCTTTACAAAAGGGGGTGGTAAGGGTTTGAACTCTCGTTTAGGTAATGGTGCCGGAGGTCTCGGTTTGACTTCCGCAGGGGAAGGTATAGGTTTGTCTATGTCCAAATCTCTAGGTGACCTTGGAGTTGTAGTAATAGTTGAATCGTCATCATCCTGAGAAATAATAAAATTAGACTGAAGACACACTTACGACTACAATGTAATATGAAAGAACTGTCGTTTTCAATATATACAATGCAAGGTTGTTTTTGTTCGTAAACCAACCAAATAAACTGTTATATATAGATGACATATATAATACTGTATAGCTGGTTATTTACGCAAATCAACAAAACTATAAGATGTGTTTTATAACCTATTTTCACACATCATTGCACTTCATGTATCGATTTTGTATAACCAGGTGCGCACTATTTCATGACAAAATTAGTTATTATATGACCATGTCTCATTTTTACGCTTAATTCAAAATAATGAACAATACGAAAACTCACTGGAGGTGGCTTCGTGAGCCCTTGAAGCTTAGACAAAAGAGAGGTTGGTTCTCTTGATGTCATTGGTGGGGTAGCATTTTTGTCTATCACATGGACGGTGTCCTTCTGGCTGAAGGTGACTTCCTTTGCGTCCTTAGGCCGTATTGGAGGAGGCGAGGGAGTCGGGGGTTCAGAGACGATTGGACTTTCCTCCCGTACCGACTCCTCATCTTCCTTGGAGCCATAGTCGAAGTACATAGGCTCAGGGGTGGCTTCTAGAATCTCTTCTTCTTCCTCTGGTGGAGGCTAAACCAGACGATAACATTTTTTTAGATTTGACATTGGATAACACAACACTTTTTAAGATAAGGGATAGACAATGCAAAGAATGTTTGAAAAGGTCACTTATTGGAGTATAGGAAATAACTTACTTGTAGGGTTATGGACCCTTGATAGTATGTTTTGACTTTCCAATATGAATCTTGGCTTGAAAGCTAGAACATGTTTATTTGACATTTGTTTCCTTCAAATTCAGGGATAAGATGATTTGACTTCTAAAATTTGCTAAACTGCAAGAGTCTACTGAAAGTCTGTATAACAGATAAGAAGTAGAATTAATGACTTAAAATTCTATAAGAAGATGATTCAGGACACTCAATTCTGGGATTTAGTTTAAATCTGATTAAAAGGTATAAACAAGAATTCCACGGGAGTGGATGTGTCGCCTGCTCAGCGCTTTTAGTTTTAGTAAGAAAAGTGTTTTGGCTTGAGTTATCGCGTAAACAGATATGCCAAAACGCAGAAAGTTGAAACTCAACAGAAATACCTGTTATTATATGTCGAACATTATTGTTTCTAGCATTACCGTACAAAATTTAGAAGGAATTGATTAAGAAATAAAAAAGATTTTGCATTTACTACACAATGCCCTTATTTGGCAACTCCGCCAAAAATGCATGTAAACATTTGAAATGTGAACTTGTATGAACTATATTGGTATGCAATATGTGTACCAAGTTTGAGTTCAATCAACCTAACGGAACTCAAGTTGTCGCACGAAAACCTTGTTTCTGACGACGCCGACAAAGTAATACCTATATATCGCCTCGCGTTGCAGGCGACACAAAAAGGTATCTTTGATATTTCATTTTCATTTTCATTCCTATCCTTACTCTTTGCTCTTTTTCAAAGAAGGAAAAGAAACTGGAGCCTCATGATAAGGAATAAATCATGAAATTCATATGAATATATAGTTAGTACCCAGTACTTACAGATACATATTGAGTGCCAGCAATCTCGGCCAGTTGTCTTGCAGTTAGGGCAGGGGGCTGCCAACGGTCCTCCTTTTTCGGGGGTGGGGGCGGTGGTGGTGGCCACAGAATTTTGACCATGACAGAGTTTGGCACAAAGCCAGTGGCATTGAGAACAGGGTAGGCAGGTTGTAAAGGTGTGGAAGTTGGCTCCCTCGACAGACGCGGTAGCGATGTAGAATGCACGCTCGACACTTTGGACGGCTCCCGGGAGAAGTGCACAACCTTTTCCTTCTTTGCATCAGATGGTGTTGGAGATTCATGTTGAACCTCCGGAGATGGGGCTTTTGCTACAGGTGTCTCTGGTTTTGTCTGTGGAACAGGGGTAGTCAACTCTGAAACAACCGGTGGCTGTTCCTTCGTAATGGCTTGTATGAGTTCTGTTGTAGGTTTGACCATAGACACCTCTCTTGACATTCGAGAACTGACCGCTCTGGACGCAGGGGGGAAAAAGCCTGTGGGTTCTTTTTCCGGTTGAAAAGGTTCTTGCACTAGAGAAAAATTATTTACAAAAAGTCAGAATATTTAACAGGTTACATATATATATATATATATATGATAATGTCAAAAAAACCAATACACGAATCTTCTTTGTTCTCTGCATGTGAAAATTCTGACTAAAAAGTAATACATATACCATAAATGACTTAATGAAGTTACCCCCAGAAATTTTCAAAATGCTATCATTAAATTTTGTATTTCTTCTGTTCTGGAATTTATGATTTTCAGAAATTGTCTGGTTGGTTTAATAAAACAACATTTGCCACCAAAACTGCACTGTCATTCAATCCTGACAACAAAGCTAAATTAGAACATTATCTGCTGACTTAGTGATTCATGCAATATTTCAAAATGACAGAAATGCTTCATTTAGGACATCCCTGTCCCTCTCACTGTAGTATTTCACAGTGGGCTGAGCCAGGGAGCTGCCTTTGTTCACGTAGCTCAGTTAGTTATTGCGATACAATTAATGTTTGTATTCATACTGGTGAGAATCTAGAAATATTCCTAGACATATGTACAGACTCTTTGTGGGACGCCATCTTGTGTGCCACTTTGCCTTATATCTTCAAACCAATAATCAATCTTGCTAACTGACACATGCCATAATCGGGCACACACTTATATATGGAACATAATCAAGCAGTGGTGCCACTAGCAACCAGCATGACTGGCATACCACAATCAAGTTCGCCCCTTACAAGTAGTGGTACCACCAGCAACCAGCATGACTGGCATACCACAATCAAGTTCGCCCCTTACAAGTAGTGGTGCCACCAGCAACCAGCATGACTGGCATACCACAATCAAGTTCGCCCTTACAAGTAGTGGTACCACCAGCAACCAGCATGACTGGCATACCACAATCAAGTTCGCCCTTTACAAGTAGTGGTGCCACCAGCAACCAGCATGACTGGCATACCACAATCAAGTTCGCCCCTTACAAGTAGTGGTACCACCAGCAACCAGCATGACTGGCATATCACAATCAAGTTC